TTGTAAATAAAAAAGCACGTTGAACTCACTTGTAATATATTAAGAAGATATAGCCTACATACAGTTATCCACAATATTTTTTTCATCTAATAAATCACATAGAATTATCTTTAGCAAGAAATATCTTACTTAAAATTAGAAGATTTAGTGGACATTAAATCATTTTGCTCCGTATATGCTTACTGTGTACATAATGATGCTCAAGTGATCACCAGGTATTTTTCAATTCAAAGATTCAATTTGTTATATTTATTTATATATAAATAATAATCTCTTTAACAAATTCAAAGAAAATTATTGCTTCCGAATGTTTTTCACCATTATTATTAGATTATATAATAATGATATATGGTTTATATTACTAAATCTCATTTGTTGCAAATATACTAAATTATTTTGATGATCAAATGTATATTACACAAGCCATCTTAACGCAGTAAGTCGTTACGAATCTGATTCATTATCACACAACGTTTACAATTAATAGCATTAGATAATTTGCATGTGACAAATAGACAAAAAATGTTAGACTTTGATATGAATTATCTCACAAAAAATATACAAAAATTAAAATATTTGATAAATTTTTTAAATATAAATAAAATAAGTGCATAAATTTTTTAACGATTTTTTTAAAATAACTAGCATAAAAATAAAACTTAATAGAAATTTAATAAAATATATTAATTTTAAAAAGTTTAAAAGAGAATAAAATGAATATAAATAATTAAAAAAAGTCAAAATTACTCATATGTATTGTGTATGATCAACATAATTGATTAATTTTAGAATAATACTCCAAATTTTAATATTTTCAGGCTACAAGGCTTTTTTTAAATGATTAAAAATTGATTTGAGATACATGAAATTCATCATTTACATTATACAAAGCGTAGAAAAATTTGTCATAAAGCCCTGTAAAACCAAAGAAGTATCCGGACCATCCTTATCTCTCAGCCACATTTCTAGGAAAAATGCCTTCTTTAAAAGCTATTTCAATAATTCACGATTAAAGAGTTAATATAAGTTTGATAAATTTAAAAAATAATTATCTTTATTTTAATAGATAATTTACATAAATATAAATACGATAAATATAATCTCATAATATGATTTTATTTTAGATCATGTTTCAACTATGTGGCTTAAATCATTTTATAATGTATTAAATAGTTAAAAAGAATTCAGAATATATATATATCAATTTTATGTTAATAAATGGGATGTATGTATTGAGAACAAATAAATGTATATACTTTAGAATATCGTTACATCATATTTTGGTTTCTATGTCACATGATTTTCATCTGAGCCCGCCATGCGTGGGGATACTTCCATTGTTGGAAAAAAGAGTATCTGATGACATTGTAACTCGCCCCAGAACAAGAGTAATCGATGCATCAACCGAGAATCCGAGAATCCGAGCAAGCGGACACATTCCACATCCATTGAGCATGACAGCCGTGGCCAATACTGTACTGTACTGGAAGGAATGAGCAGTCGTGATACAAGAGCCAAATTCGTGAAGCTGAATCGGGAAATTGGGAAAGAGAATCGTCACGACACATGGAGCAAGTCACTGGAGGGGCAAAACGCGATTGGGCAGAGGGCGAATCGAGAACGTTCTGCGAAGTGAGGGGTCAAGGGAGTCGTCGGATTGTCATCCCAAAAAGATGGGCCTCGAGAAGATTCCCAAGGCAACAGAATGTTAGGCCAAACGGTCCTCCGTCTCCTTCCAGAATCTTCAGTTTTGTCGCTGCGAGATCCCAACGTTCGGTCACGATCGATCGCCTTCGCTTCCAGGTGTTTTCCCGGCGGATCGACATACAGACCATCGGACGTACCCGGAATGTCCGACGAGTACTGCGATCGACGACGCATGTCTTACCGGCTGGAGGGAGAGATGCATGTTCACCGCCGCCAAGAATAGCGAATTATCCGCCGAACAACGCCGGTGACCGATGAGTCCCTGGGCCTGCACAGGGAGGACCGTGCAGTGGAGACTGTGAGATGGATGTGAGGCAGCGCCGCCAGATGGAGTTTCATGGAAGGTGCCGAGCGACTGAGATGGTGGAGCAAGGAGGGAAGGGAAGGGCAGGGAAAATCGAAGCTGCAGTTAGTGGGAGAGAATGAATGGAGTGATGGTTTGTTGGGTTTTGATGAGACGAGTGGATTTGATTTGATTTGACTTGACTTTCAGAAAATTTATTTAGCCTTGGGATTTGCTTTTGTTCTACGGTACTCGGTCCATGGCCCTCACCACAACTCCTCCTTGCATTACTGCGAATGTACTGCCTGACCTTTCTGCTGCTGCTTTCTTGGTGAGCGACTATTTGGCTTGGCAGCAGCGTCCAACAGTGGTTAGAAGTGAAGTGAAGTGAGGTGATGTGAATTGAATTGAATTGAATTGGATGGAAGTGAAGAAGGCATATCGCCGGCCTGCTGCTGCTGCTGCACCACCACCACCACCACCAGCAGTAGCTGCTGCTGCTGCTGCTGCTGTTCGATGCAGTTGATTTGATTTTGATGCACATGATACGCACTTGTACAGAACCCCTCTCGACAGTCCGGCCCATATATAATTTTCACCCTCTCGCCCACCGAGTCAGAAAATACTGTGGCTTTCGAAAAGTTGATATTTGTACCGGTGGACATGTCTATTATACCTTCCTCTCCTCTCCTCTCCTCTCGCCCTTGCCTCGCCTGGGCATGCACTTTGCTGCGTCGGTGTTGCACTTTTCCACCGAGAGAACTACACGCAGCGGTTGCTGTCACGTTGCTGCAGTGGTCGTATGAGAGGGCTGTGTTCTTGTGTCCGTGGACATGGACATGAGAGCAGGTCTAACGGCAATTCATATATGAATCTGGTCCTGAGCGGGCCGAGTGTGCAAAGGTATCATCAGTTGCATTCTGAAGTCCTAAGCTGAAGCGAATTCAGTTTCTCAAGGCTATGATTCCCATGCCATGCACTGCTTTAGGGTGGTCGAGGTGAGCTTCATCTTCCTCTGAAAGTCGGTCGAGGAAAGATCAGAAGCAGCAATTTATTTGTATGATCACACCATCATACTCACACGGCAGATATTTACAGTGCTTCGCGGACCGGGACCGGGATCGGGACCCACAGACCACGAACCTTGGAACGGGTTGGAACCTTGCAAGAGGAATCGTGATTCAGAAACAAGGAGACGCAACATCCGATCGACACTGTCCACGACCCCAGGTCCCAACTTTCATCCACAGCCAAAATACTGACTTGCAGATGGAGACGGATGAACTCACTGAATGAGCTTGCTCACGTCAAGGCACCAGCAGACGTCGGATCGGCGTCGAGTTCTACCATTTGAGCATCAATCTTGTCGACAGTATCGGACCCGAAATGCGTCGAGTAGAGGTCCCTCGTACTATTCTAGATCTGCAGATGACTACTTCTCAAGTCGTCCGGAGCACGAACCATTAGTTCGGATCTATTGCGCTGTATGCTCGTGATCGATCGTTCCAGATTCAGTTCGCGTCGTAAGGGCCTGCTACTATCTTCGCAGCCAGCCACCAGCCACCAGCCGCACAGCAGAGCTTATGCATATTCATACTTCTGCTGCACCATTTCTGAGGGTGCAGCTCTCGTGCTCTCGGTTGATACATGTGCTCCCGAGTCTCGACGCTCTTTTCGAGTGACTGAGAAACTCGACCCTTGCTCTGCAGCAGCCCACTCTCGCCCTCGCAAGCCATGCATCCCTCGAGTCCATGAATCGCACTGGACTCTCCTGGTCTGGACCAACTACAAACTCTTGGGTCGACCACGTGATACGTACACATAAATACACGCTGCTCGCCGGAGGCTCGGTCTCGACGTGCGAGAATTCTGAGAGCATCCGAAGAGAATTTCCAGGTTCCGCCTTTCGGTCGACGTCTGTGCAGTGTCTGGTGCCAGCCAGTCTGAAGGGAGCGAGACGAAGGTTGCGAATTATGTGGGAAACAAAACGATGCAAAATTGCATTTGCGTCGACGTCTGGGAGCTCTGAAATAGCAGACGAGTTGATCGACTCCGTATATTATTGGGGATGTGTCATCAGGCTGTCATGATCTGGGAACCTGCGTAGATTCCATTTGCATCTAAAGCATGAGAGCTGATCGGCGAGAGAAGGGGGGAAGGTTTGGATATCCAGCTTCGTGCGTCAGAGAGAGAGAGAGAGAGAGAGAGAGAAGACGTGGGTTCATGTTCTCCTCCCGTCAGTTGGCATTGCTGCTGCTGCTGCTGCAATTCTGTCGTCGTGGTGGCCATCGTCATCGTCGAAAAGAAGAAGAGGAATGGACGGAGTTCGAGCAGGATTTGGGTTCGTGAGTAATTATGGGCACGGACGCACGAAGCGAGAGAGCGAGTCAAGTCCACGGAGCTAATAATAATCATGCCATGCGGCCGCGAGCGGACTGGAGTCGTCAAAAAAAGCGCGAGCTAGAGCGAGCGCGCACGTCATTATGGAATTGGAGGAATAATATTTGGCGTGCAAAATTCGACGAAATCTTTGCCCCCTTCCTTATCCAAAGACAAGCTCGAGCTGCTCGACGTACTCGAGCGAGCATGATCCTAATCGTCGTCTCTCTTCCACCTCACTTCATGAAGATGGTGGACAGCCTATGCTCCCTCCCTCGACTCTCGACATCCACTGAGTCGTGACTGCAGCAGGTGGTGGCACTAGGCCCGGATTTGAGACGAATGAATTCAGGGTCGTGAGGTCAATCATTAATGCGTCAATGGCTGGCTGTCTGGAAACCTTGGACAGGCGCTGTCTCGACAAGATCGAGGTGGCTCATGCACGTAAATCCGATGCGGTGCTCTATTCAATGTCGCCGCAAGGAAGCTTCGTCAGATTCCCATTCACATTTCGGTGGCAAAGTACATGCACTCCCGTCGTGATCCTCGAATGCGGCGCGGCGAGGCGATGCGATGTCGAGACGAGACGAGACGAGAGACAAGAACAACAACGAGGGCGAGAGAAAGAGGAGGAAGGAAAAAGGTGAAAAAGAGCTTTATTCGCAGTGAAATGTGTTGCTGCATCACAAAGCTGTCGATCGTGGTCTCTCCCTCAGAACATCCGAGAGAGAGAGAGAGACCCGACAGCGAAAATCAGGCCTGCTGCTAAAGCTTCGCTGTGGTTTGAGCGACCGAGCGCAACCTCCACCTCCACCACCATCATCATCTTCATCTTCATCATCGACATTCTACAGCTAGAACAAGGAGCGAGCGGAAGAATCCTCGGCCTCCAGGCACAAATTTCTACACGTATCACACACACTCCCGACCGACCGACCGACCGTCCATTGCTAGAAACTCTCCCGTCACGTTCCTCTATATACCTCCTATCAATCTATCTATCTATCTATCGATCGATCTATCTATCTATATAAAATATTCATCGGCTGTGGACAGATCTCCTCTCAAAAATGCGCGCATGTTGTCTTGTGCTCGCTCGTCACGGCTCCACGAGAAAGTGTGGAGCCGGACATTCCCGTCGCAGCCATTGCCGTGCCCGCGCGCTCGCTCGCTCGCTTTGCAGAACCTTCATCGATGAACTCCATCGATGGCCGTATCAAAACCCTCGTGCCCCGCCCACCCACCGTCGAGACATGCTGCTCTCTCTCGCACCGACAGACATGCCATTCAATTCGGGTCCAGCCCGGCCCAGTCGGTCGGTCGGTCGATCGATTCGATTCGATTCGATTCGATCCGATCCAAACCATGGGACGCATCCGCTGCTCGCGCTCGCTCGCTCGCAGTCGATTGATTAGCCGAAGGGCCAGAAGGTGGCTTGGTTCGGCGATGGCGATCGATCGAGCTAGAATGAGATGTCGGACAGCGATTTGTAGCGGCGGACGAAACTCTTGGGAGGGTCGCAGGCGATGGCGGACTTGGCGCCCTTGAGGGACGAGAGGCGCTTGAGCTGCACGGAGCCGCATTGCTGCTCGAGCAGCGAGCGGTGCCGGCGCTTCTGCGAGCTTTTGGACGAGCACCGCAGCAGCTTAGGGTTTCGCTTGGGATCGCAGCCGCCCGAGTCCGCGAGCGCGAGCGCGCTGCACGCGAAGGTCGTGGTGGCCTCGTCGCCCTCCGACGACATGCGCTCGCGGGTCGAGCAGCTGGCGTCGCCCGCATCGCCGAAGCTCACCTCGTCGCCCTTCACGCTCTCGATGCTCGACGAGCAGAAGGAGCCGCCGCCTCCTCCTCCTCCGCCCTCCACGCTCGAGCTCTGCATCGGCCCGCCGCCCGCCACCGCCGCCTCCACGACGCCGGCCTCCGTCAGCGCTGCCTTGAGCAGAAACTCCAGCGCGCCCGACTCGCCCGACGACACAGCGGCGGCGCGATCGCTCCTGGCCTCCTCGTCCTTGGCGAGCTGGCACCAGTCGCACATCCACGCCCCCGTGCCCAGCCCCTCCTTCGAGTTGCAGCAGTATCTGCACCACCACCACCACCACCACCATCAATCAATCAAAAATCAATCAATTCACTTCCGACCGACCGCAAGCGCAGCCATTGCCCCCATGGCTGCAGCAGCAGCAGCGCAGACAGATCGCCCGCCAGTCGGATCGTAATTACGATCGCGAGACGGCGATCGCAGTCGCACTCGTCAGCATGATCGACGATGAGCTCGAGACCCTCGCTCTTCACTGTAGGAGTGTTGCGCCGCTGAGAGCGACGAGCCATTGGACGAGCAGAATCGAGCCAAGCAACAGTCTCGCTACGAGAGAGCGAGAGAGCACGATCAGGAGGAGAGGACTGAGACGCCACGTGCTTGTCACAAATTGTGACTACACAAAACGATTGCTGACAGACGAGGAGAGGAGGTTGACGACATGGCGAGAGCTGAAGCGGGGGCAAGTGACGACCTAAGTGCAGGTCTCTGCAGGCCAGTTCCGAGCTCCGAGCTCGGAACTGGCCTGCGGAACGACGTATTGGGCACAGTTGCGGGCGGGCATGATTCTTGTAGAGGATCGAGGCCCGTGCGTGCGTTGCGTCATGTCGAAATGATAATCAAGCAAGCGCACTGGCTACAGGTCACGAAGTAAAAGGATTCATGCGCGAATATATTCAAGCGTTATGGTGCTGCTGCTGCTGCTAGGGAGAGTGGTTACAGCTCCAAAGCGACAGCGGACCGATTGCTTTTAACGCGTAGCAAATGTGGTGGATTCGAGTCCCCGATGATGATGTCACGGCAGCATGTGGATCGCGGTGTTGGCCAGAAGGTAGCTGGCTGGCCCTGTCACGGTCTACGCCGCGCAGCTCAGAGATGGAGGCGGAGGAGCAAGAGGAGGAGGAAGAAGAAGAAGAAGAAGAAGAAGAAGAGGAGGAGAAGGATCGAGAGTTGGTGCTAGCTAGCTACTCAATCCGAGCTCCACACAAACGATGGAAAGAAGGGCCTGGTGGCGGGCGGACGTACGTGTGCTGGAAACGGAAGTGGCAGCGAGTGCATTGCTGCAGCTGATCCGGGAATCCCACGTCGCCGCACATGCTGCATTCTTGCCTCTTGCTCGTCCGGTGCTTCTCCTCGTACCTGTCCTCGAAGGTGAACGACACATGCTCTTCCCTCCTGTCGAACATCCTCGCTCTCTCTCCCTTGCCCTCTCGCTCTCGCTCTCTCTCTCTCTCGCGCCTGCGCTCCTCGCTCAACGAATTCGCGCACATGCCAAGTTACTCGCTCCCTCGAAACCTCCACCCTCACGCGACACGAGATCGCCGTCCACCTCGCTTCACTTCACTTCTCAGAAGAGTGGAGTCCTGGCAAAAATGTGAGTTTGTGTGTCCAAGCCGCTGTCTGTAACCAGTCTGGCAACACCAACCCGAGAAACCCTCTATCTGCTCCGTGTGTGTGGCTGAAGCGCCACCACCGTGAAGCAGTGCACGATATGATGAACCTTGGCAAGAGCCGCAGACCAATGCGGTCCACCGAGCTCGGAGAACAAATTCGGCGAGACTCAAAGATGAAGTCCAATTGTGGGAGTGTGGCGCCTCGGCATGATCGGGCGGGCCGAGGGTGGAAAGAAAAGCAGGATGAAGATGCCGCCTGCAAAACAATGACGATGCAGACTGACTGAATTGATGGGCACAATTCGCGTTCAGATGATATTCAGCTCAGATCATCGAGCAGGAGCAGAGGTCGCTCGGTGCAGTAGTCGCAGTGACGCTTTCCGAAAGGTCCCGATGCGCGCCCTGTGATGAGTTCCGGAAGAAAATGTTTTTCTGCCCTTCCTGCAGCTGCAGCTGAAAGGATGAGTCAGTGAATCGATCCACAAGCTCCCCGGTCGGAGGTTCGGTCAACCTTTATCTTCCAAGTAGAGGCAAGTCTGCGAAGCATACTTGGCGCGCATACACCGACTACTGCTCAGTTGATTCCATTCGTGAGTGACTTCGGGATCGAGGAGATAACGAGCTGCGATAGGGGTCCCTTTCATGCCCACACACCTGTCACAACGCCACCGACTCGAGCAACCAGCTTCCACTCCACTGCGCTCTCGATTCGAGATGCACCCTCACCACACCTCACGCTGAAACGGGCTCGACGGGCAATTGCAAGCTCCTCGACACAGCTCGCAGGAGGCAGAAACCGAATGCAAGCGGGAGAGGAAGAGTTGTATGAGCGAGCAGTCAGATCACAGCGCCACGCGGAAATTATCGAGACAAGTCAACAATGACACGGTGCACCGTGAAGTCGACAAGTCAGTGAGTGAGTCAATCCTTGGACTCTTCGGCTGCGGAACGACAAGCGCAAGCACATCAACCCCTCAGCGGGAACTCGACGAAACCCACACTGACGAAAACAGCACAATTTCCAGCACGAAACATGTTCTCCGAGTGTTGTTGATGCTCGCTTCTTCTTCTGCTGCTGCTGCTGCCGCCGCTGGCTCTTGAAGGCGATGAAGCGTTAACTCTCATGGCCGCCCGGACTCTCGTGGCCGCCTGAACATATCGGGGGGAAACTGTGGAAGAGATCCAGCCAGGAGCTGCTGATCTTTAGTAGTCGAAGAGAAGCGAAGTTCCAGTTCTCTCTCTCGCTCTCTCTCGCTCACTGTGGGGGGGGGGGGGGGGGGGGCATGTACGGTTTTTTCTACATATGTCTAGAAAAGTGGAGAGGAGGAAGACACACACTGGGGAACTGGAGCTGCTGCTGCTGCGGCTACACAAAGGAGCGAACCGAAGGCAAGGGGGAGGGGGAGAGGGCGAGGGCGAGGGACACAGTGGAAAAGATTCCAGCAGCAAAGTGAGAAATCTGGCCCGTCCCGACAACACAACTCGTTCGGCTCGGAGGTGGAAGATGATTCCTCATGCTCCTATTGCGCGTCAGAGCAGAGAGATGAGAGCTGAGGGAGCGGAGCGGGGAAAAGAGACGACGACGACGGGAATATAGGAGGACGGAGTACGAGAGATGCTTAGTGGACATTTGGTTGGAGTTTGTGCAGTGCAGCTGCCCCTCCCCTCCCTCCCTCTCCCTCCCTCCCCCGTCCCCCACCCCAACCCCCCAGAGCCCCTCCTGCTGCTGCCGATGCTCCTGCTGCTTGGGCAATGTATTCAAGATTGATGATCATGATCGGTGCCAGATTGTACTATACTCGCCCGCCCCCGCCCGCCCGCCATCTTCCATCTCGTGTGTCGTCGGCCTGCTGCCTCTCCCCTTGGGCTGGGGGCTGGGGGCTGGGGGCGGGGGCGTCGGAGATGGGGCTTCCGAGCCCAGGGGGGTGCGAGAGAGGCGAATTCACGGGGGGTACGTCTGACGTGTTCTTGTACAGAAGAACAGCAACTGATTTCATCTGGAGCCGTTGTTGCAAGCCGAGGCAGAGGGCTATGATGCGGACGAGGAGGGGAGGAGGGGAGGAGGAGGAGGATGATGATGGTGGGGGTGGTGGTGGCATGGAGGAGGAGGGGCAGGGGGTGGGGCTGGGGGTGGGGGTGTACATACATGGAGTACATCCATCATCCATGTGAGAGATGATGGATGCGAAACCAAAGAAGCGTTGACTACTTTTGATGATGATGATTTGGATGGGAGGGGGAAGGGTGGGGACTCGGGAGGGGCAGGGGCAGGGGGACGGGACGGGGCGGGGCCAGTGTCACGGGTGTCTTGCAGAGCCACCCCGGCCGAGGCCCGCCGGGCGGGTCGACGGGGAGGCGGGGACGGATGTCCTATTCCTCGGTGATGTGCTTGTTGTTGCATGGGACGGGAGTCGGGACACTTTGGAATGACGTGAAAGGTTTTCACCTCAGCACGTCACCTTTCTCCCTATATTTAGAGGCTACTTCGCAACGGCCGCGCCCACGGCCCCGCGAGGAACATGCCGTCACCAAGCCCATGAGGTGGATTACCTAACCACTCAACCCTCTTGCCACCGCTTGCTTCCGGGCGAGCCACCGGTTCCCCCCGTTGCCCCCACCGGCTACCCCCTTGCCCCATCCCCCATCCCCCAGCCCCCATCTCGGGCCGGGCACAAACTTTTCTGCTCTTCTGTCCTCTCGTGATCTAGTTCCTAACTGCAGTACTATGCACCGGCCTAGGATCGTGGGCAGCCAAGCCCCCAGCTACTGTGGTTAGGCTGGAATCTGAAGCAGCACATTCCAACCAGGTGGGGCAAGTTTCTTCATCCGCTGTGCAGTCACATGCGCATGCGAGATTCACTGCTTCTCGCAGTGAGCAATTGTATTCTCCCTTTCAGATCATCGTCAGATGATCGAAGGGGGAGCTTTGCATGAGGGAGCACACTGGCTATGCCACTGCGTTGAGACAGACACAAGCCGCGAGTACTTGGAATCTCCAGAGCAAGTGCTTGCAGACAGAAGAAAGTCAATTCGAGCATCATGGTGAGCTCAACCACCAACCTTTAGAGCGAGATATGCTTTGAATTGTGCAGATTGTTTCTGCACTAGGAGATATCTCGGGCGAATTCGGAAACTAGCAAGTTGCTACTGGTGCAGCTTGTAGCTACTCTTTTTTGGGGCTTTCATGTAGATCGAGCCTTCTCGCTCTTCATGATTGCTTCAATCCATCCCATCAGTTCTGTATAAGTGGAGTTCGAAAGGTTTCCAAAAGTGTGGCTACTGGATTTTTTCTCCAGGGCACCATTGCAGTCTCCGAAGCTCCTCCCTCCCAAGGCGTAGTAGACCTGCATCATCCGACTCGGCCCTCGGTGAATGGAACGTGGAGTTCACAATGATTGTCTTAGAGGGCGGTTTTAGAGCTGAACTTTGTGAAGGAAAATTCCGTCAAAGAAAAGACCTCTCTTGCAATCTGGCCTACTCTGCTACGGATTCTCCTCGCCCTTCGTAATGTCTCGTGATGTCGACCGGTAGTCCTCTATTTCTTCTCCTCTTCCTCAAGTACATCGAAATCGGAGTACAACCAAAGCATGATCGTTCCGGTTTCATGATTGACTCACTCAGTAACTCTACGAGATATGTCACATAATCACACACGGCTATCATGACTTTTCAGTTTTCATCACAGATTTGAAAAGGACGACGTCCGTGGGTTCAAGGTGATACCGCGACACATGCCATTTCATATTCGGTTCGGACATTAGCAACAATTTTCTATCAAGTGGTTGTATCAAAAGTCTTCCGGTGCAAGCCAATGATTTTCGAGGAAATTCGAAGATGACGACAATCATGCCCATGATCGACCATATATCTCGAGATATGTATTTCTATGTACTGGCAAAATATGTGATTTTCTACGCTACGTCATCGAATCAGGAAAATGGGATCACTACCCTGTTCATGTCAAGAGAATCTTGGGTATCACAGAAAGATCTATGACACTTGAATATGAAGGCTCACATCATCAGCAACTGTGTTTGTGTGGCTTTAGTGGACAAAGTGTCAGTCAACAAACCAATTGTGCTTGCAACAAATAATAATACGATACCAAGAGCTCCAGGTCCGAAACTAATCTCGTACTTTGGACATGGGGAGAACATGTCGAACCATTTCGATCATTGAAACGAAGAGATAAGATGCAAGTCTCTTCAATCTTGGAGTGTCTTCTCGGGAGCTTGTGCAAGCGGTTTAAAGTCCTGACTACTTCAGAAGTCCTCTCATTTTGGTGTTGGAGTGGTATATTGTCATACGTAAAGGATCTCCCATAAAGATTTGTTTACGTGATCTCTCGATAGTTGAACTTGCGGTGCTCTCCATCGGTCCAAGCTTCTCCCTTTGGATGATATGCCCCCCAGTAGACATACCTTTATTGTGGCCCAATTTCAAATCTCCACCTCCGTAATTCTTGTCTGCTGTGAATGAGGTTGGAGTGTGTTCCCATGTCATTAGCTGGATGATTTGGGTGAAGTAAAAGCTCCAGCTCTCACAGTAAAGGATGGGATCTGAAGAAAGAGGAAGAGAGAGAGAGAGAGAGAGAGAGGATCTGAAATATGATTCCTTTGAATGCAAAACGAATCAAGAATGTGCGTGAAAGTCTCAAATGACTGGGCTATAAACAAACCTACGACGTGACCTGAGCGCAAAGCCAGGTGATCTGGCTGCTGTGAGCCAAAAAGCACTACCAACGAAGGGAATCGAGCAATCCGGTGGCGGGCGGGCGGGCAAGTGAAATGCAATCCACCCTTTCTTACATTTCTTCAGGTGCCGATTTCTTTCACCTCCCTGGGGTACTCTCTGGGATGCAGAACTCGCCATGGGAATAAGTTGAAGTCCATCGTATTTCTAATTCTAAGATCTGCCTGCAGTGATGGTGGCCCACCATGTCGAGCTTTTCCACGAGGCACCCTCCGTGGAAAACAACCACAAGCACCCAATGGCGAGGCGAGCGAGCGGTGAAAGTGCAACCCTAAGGCCCAAAAGTCTAGCGGTAGGGCACTGGCTGGGGGGTGGGAAAAGAAATCGCGATCGATCTGTACCTTCAGAGCGCGCTCGTCGCATATGGTTTAATCCAGCAGCACTGTTGTCATAAGATCTGGGATATAATGGGCGAAAGCAAACCCTAGAAATCAGATCTGGACCACCAAGGCAGCCAGAAATTCTTCGTATCTTTCTTGTACTGTTCCCAATTGCGCAGACCAGCAATATTTTATTCGGTCGCGTTCCGATAACACCTGGTCTGGTCTGAACCCCTCGCTGCCTTATCTATACGTGTTCGGGTCGAGGCCGTCCACATACGAACCGTAGACTCCTTATGCAACACGGCACGTCCTCTCGATGCGCGCTTTGACTTCTGGCCTTCGCATGAAGATTGCATTCGGGCCATCGCCATCGCCATCGCCCCATCACCCTCACCCTCCCCTGCAACCGAAGCTGCCTTCCTGTACGGCGGAAGTTACTGTCGTATTATGTCGGGCTCCTCTGAATTATACACGTACCGGTTTCCCGTCGAACGGGGAGCTTTCTTCGAAGTTCGAGTAGTTTCGGCATGGCCGCCCTTCGATCCTCTCTCTCGCCATACCGGTATTTACTGTTCGCCCTTCCTCCAATCCAATCCAATCCGCCACACTTTCCAGGCTTTACATCGAGTTGGCTGGCGTATATACATCCATGGCACCTCCCTCGTCCTCACGAGTCATGAACACTCTCACTTGCTTCGAGCCATTCTTTGCCCGCCCCCAAACTCCTCCCCCCTCCCTCCTCCCAGGCCTCACCAAGCCTCAGGCAGAGAATTAAGACCTGAACATGTGGGGCAAAATAGAAAAGTCTGTTCTTTCCTTTTGTCTGCTGCATTTTCATCTCCCGCACTCTCGGCTGGCAGATCATGGCCTTGCAGCGGATGTTGGCAGCCACTTTAATTCCTTGCGTATTTGGCAATCAATCATCCGGTGGGCAGTATGGTACAGAATTGTACCATACCCGCGAATGAGAATGCCGCTCAAGGGAATGCAACTTGACTTGGCTCGACGAGGCCCAGGATCATGAATTGTGACGAAAGAAGGACATGATTAAAGGATACTATCTGCTCCTCGTGACTGGTACATGCTCACTGAGTGTCCTAACAACAAGAAAGAAATGTACAAAAACGAAATGACCGTGTTTCGAAATCCCATTTCCAAATGCAACCCTACAGGTGCTTCACAATATTCACATTTCCAAGTCTCTAGGCACTCTGCAGCCGATCGGCAATTGGGTTTCTTGTCGCGATGAGGACAGAAAGAATTGACGTCATGCGTGCCGTAGAATACTTGGGAGAAGCTGAGAGCGAATCGCTTTGTCAGCATCGCGGGAACTACGAGCATACCTCTTGGGCCAACCGAAACTTCGTAGAGTGCATCTCAAAGACACACACACACAACAAAAGACACTGGCATCGCGTGATCTGACAATCGTCGTCGGGGACCTGTAGCCCTGAGCGCTGTGCGGTGGAGCGTGGTTGAATCGGACCGGATTTCTTGACTAGGCTTGACTTGGGCGGTATTATATTCCTGGCGAAATCTGGCCCACTTCACTGGCCCGTCACGAATCGATCCCCGGCCTCGTGTACACGCTTGGGATTCGATCGCGATACATGGATCAGCTCATAACAACCGACTGATACAGCATAGTTTAATGCCGGGATGATGCCTGTACGCGTTGTTGTTCGGGAATCGACAATCAGTGGGAGGTGGTCTCAGATAGGGTTTGCTTCCGTGTGCTAAATGACGACGACAGTGCCCGTTTCCATGCCACTTGTACTTTTCCCGGGGCTCTCTGATTAAGAAGAACGGTTGGCGTCGTTCTCGAAGCCCTTCGCCCTCGACGTCAACACACGTTATAAGAACCTTTCCTCATCAGGCCACGAGCCCATCCACGCCCAGCAAAAGGCAGCCCCAGCCCCAGCCCCCAGTCCCACAGCCCCAGTCCCAGCCCCGGACATCCGTTGCCAACGGGCGCCGTAGGCAGGCAGCGTAGGTGCAGCTCACAAGGTTTCGAGGCCATCATGTCATCAGAAGCCCGACGAGAGGCCCGTTATCTGAGGGGGCCCGAATAGCGTCCGGAGAAAAGAATGGCGCAAAAATGTGGACATTGAGAAACGCAAGAAACATTCTACAACTTTTCGAGCAGAGAAAAGAGCGAGGCTCCGATGCAAAGGGAGCGAGGTCATCTTCAGGTGGGACAGAGAGCCCGATCTCATAAGCCATGACCAGCCTTCCGAGGTCGAATGACATTTTCATCCGCGAGCCTGAACCGAGCGAATTCCCATGCCCGACACACCAGGGAGCAAAATCTTAGCCGATCTTAAAAGTAGCACTTCGCGACACGGAAATCTTTTCCTCGAGGGTTAGAGTTGAAAACAATCACCCCTGCAGAGTTCCAGGACAGAAAAGTAACTGCAGAAATTCATTAAAAAACAATATCGAGCATATTCGATTCCAGTTGGTTCTTCAAAATCCGAGAAGTTCTCTGACCATGTCCTCGTAGGCAGATGAATAAGTCGACAAAGATAACTCCAATTTATCTAATCATTAACCTCAAATTGATCATAGAGATCACAAAAATGTGACACTTCAAGAGAACTTCCACAGACAAATTATAAAGACAATGAAACTGAAAATTGATTATCATTGATCTCCAAATCTCCAGCGAACGACTCATTACGCCGGTGACACTCAGATCATCTCTCTAAAATGTAAAAATGCCGTTTGTGATAGTTCAAGGATGCTTGTCCCCACTGCATTTCAATAACGATAAGACATACATATGTTTGAGAAATCAACTGCCATTTTCTGCATCTCACATCCACTTTGCAAACTAAAGAGAAACTGCGCAAACTTGAGAATTTTATTGTAAACATTACATTTTACTTCTCATTGATTATACTGGGTTCAAGCTCGTAGATTCTATTGACTGTCACCATCTGAAATGTTGTATCTGAAAATTGCAGTATATACAAGAAAGAAAATAAATAGCTAAATCGGTAATTTAGGAATTTTCAAAAATCTCAGAGATGAATTTTTTTTTTTAAAAAACCTCAATAGTTGAACATTTAACCGCTTGCATAGTAGCTGAGCAGCCCAAACCCTTTTAACCCTGTATAACAAGAGGAGGAGATAAGAAAGTGGTATCAAACCTAACTCAAGTACAATTCACCCATTACATTTTACACCTCATTACTGTAAACTTCAACACAAAATAATTTGATCATACTCCATTTTCTGTACATATTTTCTATGTAGATTCTAGTTATATATTAATACTAATTTTGAAAATATAACAATTTTATCATATTTGAAGATTGATAATATACATACATATATATAAGTTCGTATATCACAGAAAAGAGTAAACAGGTAAATTCAATGATGGAAGTTATGATTTTCATAACAACATATGTCACTTACATGGCCGGAAAAATAATAATTATGACTATGGTGGCATGTGCATTTCCTGGACACGAGTCGATTTTAATGGTGCTTATGGAATACGTCGTCTTGGCTCGTGGTGTGTAGACGAGAGAAGAGACCTGACATGCGAGGCACAACAAATCATGAAGGGGAAGTGTGAACGCCCCGATGTCAAAGCGTGGCGTGAGAGGCGCTGGTGGCCATGGCTGTGGTCATGGGAGGGGCACCGTACTTGGCTGCTCAAAGAAGCAGAAGGATGAAGGATGAGCTCGAGTGAATAAAAGCTGTGCATCTTAAAAAAAGTTCGATTCAGGAGTACATACAAAATCTGTGAGCTTAAGGCACACCTCTTGATCTCGATTCACGTGTTCGATGTCCTGGTGACATGGCGAAATCTCGGATTTGTTATGGCAGCACCAACAAACAACAGATGTCGGCCCGGGATTGATCGACATCGAAAGCCGGAGGGCTCACAAGAACATCGAGCCAAACAGGTGTCGGCATGGCATTGACGTCGCCACAGATTCAACTTCCTCCCATAAGCGAACGATAAATCGGTTGTATGATTGATTACGTGTTGCGAAAGCTCGCACCATCGGACGACACATGCCCGCAGGAGGCGACCTGTCGACGGCGTGGTAGATCGCTCGCAGCAACCGCCTAACACTCTACTAGGGACGTAAAGCAAAGCAAAGCAAAGCAAGGGGGGGGGGGGGGGGGGGGGGGGGGGGGGGTCTCCACTCCTCCCTCAGTAACCAAACCAAATGTACTTCTCACCTCGACGAGCCCTGTACATCACATCCATCACATCGGTACTCGGCTTCCGTTGCTGGGCAAATTCTGCAGATCAGACAGGCCCACCTACACCAGTACATTGGCATGCCGTTACGTTATATACGTGGATGGGGAGGGCTTGCAAGCCCAGTCAATTCTACTCGAGTTCGGTCGAAAAGGCACGAGAACTCTCTCACCTTTTTGTTCGCTCTCCCCGCTTTTCATGCTCTTGCTGCGGTTTGCCGAAGGCGACTTTCCACCTCTTGAAAGGTGGCGAGACGACGAAGAAAGTGTATGCAGACAAAGAGGCTTATATATTAATTTTCTCTCGCTCCCGACGTACACTCCATGTCATAATGCCCTGGCGCAGATTCCCCCAAAAAGGGCCCCCGAGGACGTAGTTGCGACTAGTAGGTTTATCGGTGCTGAACGCTGCCGATCCATTTCCGAGACTCGGACACGAGAAGGAAGGAAGCAAGCAAGAAAGGAAGAAAGCGAACCGAGGCGTAGGACTGACACCCAGCCCCCCATAGCTCGGACTCAGATTCCCTTCTCCAAGGACATGGCTCAACCGGGGAGAGAACTGCTGGGTGATTGGTACTTTTCCCACACAGTGCTAGAGTCTGCTAGAGTCAGCTAGACCCTATCCTGGGCCACCGCAGCATAGGATGGGGTCTGAGAAATTTACCGTTCTTTGGGTCAGGTACGCGAAGACTGCAGTGATTGGTTTCTTAAGATAGGCCCCTCTCTCTCTCTCTCTCTCTCTCTCTCTCTCTTTTAAGAGTCTTGCAAAGAATGAGTTTTTGTGATCTGCAGAAGTTCGAACCTACAAATGAGCATGCGCGTCAGAGTTCTGAGAACAAATATCTACACCTAACAGCACACAGTATGTTCCTTTTGTTTCTTCAGTCCAGCAGTTGCAATCATCTGAGTCAATGAGGAAGCTTTATAAAATTACTCCTCGGACATACAAAAGTTAAGAAAAGAGGCGATTGTCTTCAACCTCACGAGGGCACAAATGGCCAACCATGACCTTGACAGACACATACCTTGAGCTCGTGAAACCACAAAGCACGCTATGCAATATTATTTAATGTCGAGGCTACTCCATACAAACTAGGAGGTATCTTGCCAGCTTGAGCACTCGACTGTATAACTCCTGCGATGGCTGTGAGCAGAAAATTAACTCTCACATCGTTTGGAAACTCCTATATTTTTACAATATTGCCTCTGGCGGTATCTGTATGAACTTGATGTGACATGCCCTAGTCAGAATAGAGCCACAAGAAACTTGCAGTCCAAAAGTAATGGTAAATCGTTGGAATTTTTTCAAAGGACTTGTAAACCCAATTTCTTTGATCTTCTTAAGAAAGTTAAAGAATCCGAGAAGCGTCCGAACGAAGAAAAGTTTATCAAAAAATCTACAAAAGAATCAGAGGGTATGGGAAGTAAAGGAAATAAACTCATAGCTACCCAATACAGCCACCTCCAAACACATGAAAAGCATGGAAATTGTCCAAAACTATTACTTGAAATACACATAATCGTATGTCACGAAGTCAGCAGAAATTTACGAAGAGTGGAAATCATTAACTTACGTTTCTACTTTGCAGCGAAGAGCATAGTTTTAGTACCTTCTGAATTTTAGGTTTCAATAAAGTTGTTTGATTATTAGTTGGGGCTCTCAAGGCTCTAAAGCTCTCAAGGGGCAGGGGCCCCTTGAGAGCTTCAGCGCCTTTTTGCATGGGTGAAGATGTTTCCACGGACACAACTACTTCTCTAGCATGCAAGCCAAATCGTCCATTAATATTAATTAATGGACGATTTCTTTCCCAGTGACATACATGTACCGAAAACTATATTAATAATAATTAAATTAATATTTAATGAATATTTTTTAAAGACATATAAACATATCTTTGACATGATATGATTACTACTCAACATATTTTATTGACCGGTAAGTATAATAACTTTTCTCTATGCCAGGTTATAGAATATGGACAATGAAGTCACCACCGAAATAAGATATTGCGTTTGCAGCTGCAATGAGGTCTATAATATCTATCAGAACAAAAACATCCCCTTTCTGATGTTAATGATTGGATAAGACTATGGAAGTAGCCAGCTTCCTGGAAATATACCGTATACAACTCTTTGGGAATGCATACTTAAGTAATTCTGACTTTCGCTATAAACTATAGGACTTGACACCAAAAATGATTGACAAATAGAATAATCAGTAGTGGGTATATAAGGAAACGTTGCATATTACTTGGAATCATCACGAAGACCACGAATGAGGGAAACCACGTAAAATTCAAATTATGTCAGATAGATAGTCCATACTCCAAATATTTAAGATCCATTTTCATTGATTACAATATTAATTTTTGTTCTATCTTTCTCACATGCACATTTTCTTTTTAACGAAACAACTTGAAAGAGGCTATCACTTTTCAAGTCAAAGCATCATGTGGTTTTCTGCTATTTAGAGTGAGAGTGCAATATAAGATTAGAATAGTCTTTTCTGA